ATTTCAGTACCCATCACACATTGATCTGCATAACCTTTCCTGGCAATATGCTGGATTCAGTTTTAGTCACTGTACAAATATTTAACGTTAATCAATATTAGTGTACTTGGAGTATGAGTAACCTTTTATAAAGTTGACTCAGGGCTCACTGGAGATCTTATTTCTAATAAGATTTTTATAATATTAACTTTTTCCAGGTAAAGCTGATGTGCATTCTGCCTTTTTTTCAAATGTTTTGTCTGTTTTTTCCTATAGCTGTTGAGTAGTCCCCAATGGAATACAAAACCCCTTGCTTGCAAATGAAGACAATTACTTGAAAGACAAAAGGTTTTATTTAGGTTGCAGGCTGAAGCATAGTTGGAGTACACACAATAGCTTTAAGTATTGGTTTGGGAGCTCAAATGAGTCTATCAGCAACACTGCCCTTTATTTGAGTTAATTTAACCAGCAGAGCTGAGTCCACTTCAGCTCAATCCCTACAGGGAGGACTTTCCTGAGACACTCAGGAATTCGATATATTCAGGACACAGGAGAGATTTATCACAGAGATGTCAGAACTGGCAGTGGAATAAAAGTGATGACTTCTTAACGATTCTAAAACACACAAGGTTCTATCCACTGCTTGAAGTCAAAGGTAAAACTGGTTCTAAACTTAGCTTTATTTAGGGCAATTTAATTAAGATTCTTATCCTGTTCCTAATTAAGAAGGCCATGAATTTTCTATTTGAAAATGAACCCTTTTGAAATACTAATGAATAAATTCAATGGGGAGGGTAATTTTAAATAATGTTTTAAATAGATAATACATTGGGGGGGGGGGGTTACTGCTGTCTTTTAATAGCAATTTTGCTCTTTTAATAATGCTTTGAGAAAATATTTTCAGCTTTCTTTATTGAGAAAAATACTGATTCACAAAGACTAAATATGATTCACCTAATCACCTAATAAATCACCTAATTCACCTAATAAACTATCTCAATAAGATGCCACTGTTTTTCCATGTTTTGTTTTCTTACATTTTACCTGTTTATTTTTTAACCAAAAAAGTAACGGAATAAACTGTTGGAATGGTTGGTAACTTCATGTCTTCTGAAGATGAAATACTGGTTTACTACACAATTCAACAGTATGGAAATTTGATGCCTGGTAGTATTTACATCATTAAAGACAGAACAGAACTGTTGACAAGGTAGATGGTTAATTCATTAAGAACAAATGTCAACTGAATTTCATTGCAGGCTTCAATGTTTTTGCCTGTGTTCTATTCTGCCCTCAGAATGCCTGTAAAACATTATGTCTATAATCCTACTTTGTAAATAACAGTAACAAATACTGTCTAGTTTGATTCCAATGTAGAGTTGAGCCACTTGATGCTAGGGATGAACAGAAGTGTACTGTCTACTGTGTTTAGCCAGAGTACAAAGATAATCTATTGACAGGCACCCTTGAGTACAACCCTTTCAGCTCAGTAGAAGAAAACAAGGCTTCTTTCAAATAATTTTCCTTTGGAAGTTCTGAATCTATTACTCTCACCATATAAATTTTGCCTATTTTTCATCAGTATTATTTTGCTATTGTAAATATTTTCAAAGTATGAACATTCTGTAGTGAAGCCAGTCTTCCATTAACAGAAGAGGGAAAAACCCTGAATGAGATCAATCAATAATTTAATTACTGTTGCCATTTTATCAGCTGAGATACCGAACTACAGTAGACTTGTTTTGGCATTTTTTAAATCTATTGTATTGACAGTCAAAATGAAGAAAGCAATAAATCTGCATTTTTAATGGGATAGTAGAGTTGAGCTATTATTGATGATTCCTTAAGAATCACTCTTGTTGACTTATGTCATTCTTCATTTAATTTTTCTTTTGGAAGCATTATAAACACAGCCAAAGATAGATTTTTTTTCTCTTACACAGTAGACAGTTATCAGACAGTACATGCAAGTATAATACAAACAGGAAAGCAGACACTGAACAGTGATCGAGAGGACAGAAGAAGGGAGAGATACACTATGATACAAAGAGGTAATATAATCAAAGTTAATACAAAAAAAAAAATTACAGATATTTAATTGGTATTTTTGGTACAGAAAAAAAAGTTCATGATCAAAAAGTGTCAGGTGAACTCTTAGTATCATAAATTTAGGAGTTTATGGGTTTAGGAGTTTATGGGGTTACACTTGGGATTTCTGCTCCTCCTCAGTAGAAGGCAAGGTTTGTTTGTGCCATGCTGGACAGGAGCAAGCTGACAGATGGTTCATAAAGGGCAATTTCTAGAGGGTGTAGATTAGAGGATTAGGGCCTGAGCAACCTGCTGAAAGAGGAAAGAATCTGGAAGGGCACCAAGATGTGCACCAATGTGAATACCAGCTGCAGTTACAGCAGCTTTATAAACAGTTGTTTTAATTACAAATTGTTTTGGGATACACATTTGGTGTCCTTTCTAATTACTCACCATGAAGTACAAGACACATTGTGGCAAAGGTTAAGCTAAAAACACTCAGAGCATGGAAAGCACTTTTATTAGCATGGAAACAAAACAGAAGCAGACAGCATAGAGCTTTACTTCTAGACAAAAAAAATCCTGCACAGACATGGAAGCATGTATTGAGAGCTGCCTAAGGGAATAAAGATGAAAAAAATGAGGACAAAGCTGTTGGTACTGTCTTACTGGAGAAAAAAAAAGAGAAGTGATACCACCTCCAGGAGTACTGCCTGAAGCACTGGCATACTCATACATGTCTGATGAATACTAAAGCCCAGAAAGATTGAGCCTGTAAAGAAATAAAAGCCAGAAGTAGAAGGAGAAATAGATCCATTAGAAAATACACTCAAGCAGGCTAAAGGAATTCGAAGGCAAACCAGAGACAGACCTAAGAAGGTGATACACTGTATTACACAGAATATAAATCAGAGGGAATAATGGCCATTTTTTTGGAATATTCCAAAGAGCTTGTGCAACTGAGTTTGCCTTAATTCAGTGCTGCCTCTGGCCTGGGATGGAAAGGCAGCAATAGGACCTGAACACCTACAATCAAAGAGTATTCCCTGCAGTGTGGCTGTAGCTGATCCAAACACTGCTCACACATTGCAGACAACACCAGGGGGCACAAGAACTGGGAGTTTGCAGCTACACTTTTACATCAGGAGCCAGCTGAACCTTTCTGGTTGTTGCAAACCCAGTTACATGGAACCATGAGAAACACAACTGATCTTTCAAGTAAGGAAAATTTGCTACAGTTCTTAACCTGTGTTTCTATCATTCCAATGCCACAGAAATGTTTTTTCCCATTTTTTCAATTTATTTTCTTAAGCAGCAAATCACACACCGTGACCTTTAAATAATGCTTTAAAATTATAAAATCTAGCATTCCAGAGAATGAAAAAAATTACGGTCACCTCTGATACAAATTTCAGGAGGTTCAGGCGTTTGTAAGCAAACAGGATGATTTAAAATTTTATTCACAGAAAAGGCGTTCATTACTTCTCACATCAGGAATGTTTCTTGGTAAGCCAAAAGGCACCTTTTGGCCATATTTGACAACTTTTCAAGCAGTACAAACATCAGGACTTATGTCTGGTTCAAAGATGCATCATCATGATACAGCTGCTTGCATTATTTCTGTGTGAAAACGTGCGTGTTACCAAAGGATGAATATTTGTAATAAATGCAAAGAGCAAAAAACTCTTCCTACTGAAGGAAGTTCAGTAAGAGGCTCAGACCTTCTGTCACATGTTTTCTGGCCACCTCCACATGGGAGCAGAAAGGTAATGAGGTGCTATCTGAGTCAAGGCACATGAAATCAGCTTACCAATTTACCAAACTGCATGAATACATGCTTGAAATGATCCTTTAGCATTATCCTTGCGTAAATGGAAGCATTTGAACAAAAAAGAAAAAGGCTTAAGCTTGGTCCGAAATTCATCTAGCTTTCTGGAAGAAGATAAACAGTGTAGCTTACAAGAAGGCACCAAGAGACATTGAAACTATAGTACTTCTCAGTAGGTTCACAATAGGCTCACGCAAGAGTTCAGGGTTCAGGCACAACAGAAGCTGGTGGCTATTCTGAAGGGAGTAGTATCTATAGTAAAATCTATAATATTAATTATAGATAATATTATTATCTATAGTAAAATCTAATACAGGTGATTGTTTTTGTCAAGGAAACCAGTGATGCTTTAAAATAGCAAATGTGATGCTACTGAAATTCCAGCATCAATACATGAAAATGTGCTCCTGTTTGAGAAGGTCATTGCTGGTGACAAGTACATGGAACAGGAAATAGCTTCCATGGTTCAGGGCCGATTCTGCATCTTCATTAATAGCAGGCATCAGGCAATTGAACAGAGCAGTGACAACATGAGATAGTGGAAATAAAAGAATCATATTAAGCGGTTCAATACATTGAAATAAAAGTTTGATGATGTGTCAGCTCTGAGGGATGCATGCACTACAGGCAGAGGTACAGCAGGGCTTAATTTAAAAAAAAAGCAAACCAACTAGCTTTTTATCCCTTGCTGTATGTGGTCCTTCTCCCTCCACTCTTCAAGGCAGCCCTGTGGCCAAGACCTGATGACACCCTCGGCTCACAGCTCGCCATGTCCTGCCCTCTAGTGACCCCAAGGGAGCCCAGGATTTCACGGAATTTTTGGAAGGCAGCTGAGAAACGGCTGCTGTTACACCCTCAGGAGCCAGCCAGGCGAGATACGCGGCCGGTGTTTTCTAGCACCAGCTCACGACGGAGCCACGGTGAACTCGTGTGCCCAAGGCAACGGCCAGATCTGCTGCCATTACCGCCGGTGCTCCGCCAACCCGGACTGGAGCGGGCTCTCCAGAGCCGGGGAGGCCGAGCGAGCTCGGAGCAGGTGCCGGGCCGTCGGCAGCGGGCAGGGCCCAGTCCGGGCCAGCGGCGCTCCCGCCCCGCGGAACTTGCGCACAGGCCGCCGCCCCCCTTCCGGCAGCCGCGGCGGCCGGGCCCGCGCAGGAGGCGGGGTGAGATGGCGGCTGCCGTGCCCGGCGCCTCCCGGGCCCGCGCGGCCGCCGCGCCGCTGCTGCTGCTGCTGCTGGGCTGCTGCGGCGCAGCGCTGGCCGGCGGCCCCCAGGTACGGGCCGGGGGAGCAGCGGTGGGTCCTGGGAGCGGGCGGGCGGGCGGCCGCCGCCTTGGGCTCGGTGCTGCCGGCGTCCCCATCGCTTCCCCGCCGCAGGCAGGGAGCGCGCAGGCTGCCCGCGGAGCTGTCCGGAGGCGCTGGCGGCGCGCAGGGGAGGCCCTGTCGGTACGACGGGCAGCGACACCGAGCCGCGGTCCTCAGCGCTGCCGGCCCGGCGGGAGGAGCCGGCGCCGGCCCCGCCCGGCGGGGCGGAACCGCGGGGCGCTGTGTGCCGAGAACGCTGGTGCTGGGTGGCCTGGCTCGTCCGGGTGCCTTGCTCAAGCTGCTGAAAGTTACAAAGCCCCAGACTTTTCATCCTTTTGCGAGTCTCTGAAATTTCCCTTGGCCACTCGCTGTCACTTGTAGCGGGTGTCTGCTGCTGCAGCCAGGCCCGGCTGGCGGGGTTCGGGGTGCCCCGGGTGGCTGCGGGCGCTGCCCGGCCCGGTGCCCGTGCCGCAGGTGCGAGGCGCTTGCACGCGGCAGGTGCCAGTGGGTTTGTCAGGTGGGAGTAATTTCATGTTTCAGCAATTAGCTTAATGCAGTGTGCCCACGCTACATCTGGAGTGTTGTTTGCTTTTGAATTCTGCGTTATTAAGAAGTTGTTATGCTTGAAATTAATTACAACTAGGACCAAACAACCCCCGCACCCCGAACAATAGAAATATTCTTACAATCTCTGGATGACTAATCAAACTGCAGGTTGTTTTCTGCTTGAAGTTCAACACTATTTCTGTTAGTCTGTGTTTTGTATAAGAGCACAAGCATCGTCCCAGAACTCCTCAGAGTTAATATATTGAGTCTGATTTAGTAGTCAGCAGATTTGGATTGTTGCCCTGTTACAGACTTAGTCCCTTACCTCTGCGAAGTCTTAGCCCCTTTTCATGTCCTGATTTATGCTCTCTGTTAAGGAGCAAGGGTCCTCTCATCTCCAAAGGAAAGTGGGAACTATGGAGAACACATTATAAAGAAGGTTGCTGTCATAGATCTTGATTTTGGAAGGTAAACACCTTGGATTTAAAGTGGGTTAAAACTTCAGATTTTTTACCTGCTTTTGAAAATTGAATTGAATTGAATCCAAGCCGCTTTTCTCATTAAGGATGAGACTGTAGGTCGATAAATCATATTATTTTGTTCTTGGAGTGTCCTTTGGAGTAGACGTGTGTGGGCTTTTGGTTTTAACTAAGGCGCAAGTGACTAAAGATGCCTCTTTGTTCTGTAGCAAGTTTCAGGGAAAGATTTGAAGCAGTTAATTCACATGAAATGTGCAAATGTTAAGAAAAAGACCTCTCTTCTACCTTTTCGAAGGTTTATTCAGTATTAATATGTAGTAAACATATGCATTGAACACTGTTGTGGAAATAACAAAACTATGAGTCGTCATTTCTTTCTTATTGATGAAACATCTAAAATTGTTTTTATCTTTCAGGATCGAGCAGAGCAGTTTTTTAGAAGTGGACATACAAATAACTGGGCAGTTTTGGTAAGCATGGTCCAGGTTGTTTTCCTCCAATAAAGTTAACAGTTTTTCATCAGGGGCCATAATTGCAACAGTCATTCAAGAGTCATGCTCATTTGAAAGAAATTGAAAAATAAACATTTGGAAATTAATAAATTTGAAATTGTGCCTGCAGATTTATTACACTATAATGAAATTATCTTTTCAATATGACCAAATTTCAAGCACTCAATGTGTCTAGCTACATGGCAGGATTCATAAAACAAAAGTTCTGAAAGCATTAAAATAGTTAAATTAGCATACTGCATATTGGAAAAAAAGGTGTAATTCTGACACCAGGGAAGTGTGGTCTCTTTGACCAGGCAGATAGAGTTTATATCTCGTTTTTGTTCTTATTCAGTCTGTTAACTTGTGATAACAGGCTGGGAATAAAATCAATTCAGACAGAATCAGGGTTTAGATCAACTGTTCTTACCCTAATTCTCTTTTTCTTTGCCATATAACTTTTATTAGCTTTGAATCATGCTGCACAATTGGTTCTTAATCACAATTCAGGTCTTAATGACTAATTTGTTTCAGAACACTATTGTAATTACTCAGTAGCAGCTGTTTGTTTTCAAGATACTAAAACTGAGCAATATAAAAGGATAGTTAACAGTAACTAATTGAAGAAATAATTTCTATATTCTACAATGTACAAACTTGAAACTATTAAAACATAACATACTATCTTAATTCTATTAAAAAATAGATGCTTTTATTAGTACCCATAAAAACACACAAAGAAAGTGGAAAATTAGGTCCAAGGACCTAAACTTTCTGGGCTGAACAGATTTTCTGCCAGTTTTATTTTCTCAGTGGCTCATTGTTAAGTTTTGTAACAATTGCTACTAATTTTTTAAGCAGTAAAGCAGGGAGGGGTTTACTGCTGACAGGCACTTCAAACCTGTGATCATAGAGCAATCCCACCTCATCAATAGCTTGAATTAATGTGCTGCAGCATGGATAACTGCATTTAAAGCTTAGACACACTTTCCACTGTGTTGTAAGGGAGGTACTGGAGGCAGGGGGCAGATGATCGTACCTTGCAATGTCTCAGCTAAATTGGATACAGTTTGTTTTCAGAGCTTTAAATCTTGCTGAAAGGCAAATGTCTTCATGGACTTATTCCTATGGGCTTTTTCTGAATTCCTAACTGACAGGATGAGAGAGACACAAGCGGATCCTTTCAGGCTGAATTTTATTATTACTTAAGCTACAACTCAGTTCTTTTTATGAAAAGAGTAGAGAAAGAGATGCTGTGTAGTGTAATTTACAGCTCTACTTTTAGAGCTGTAAAATTAAACTATCTAAATGCTTTTTCCTGCATCTCTGTTTTTGTGGTTTTAAAGTCACCTCTTTTAGAAGCTTTTGAAATGTCTGAATCAGAACCTGATTTAGGGAGTGCATAAGTAAAGGGAATGACCCCTGATCCCTTGCCTGTTAGAACAGTAGAAATTGAATTCTGAAAATCTGTACCCAGATTCATTTGTATTTATATTGGTTAGAGCTCCCTTTGCTCTCACTTTGACTCCATGAATGCAAATGTCCTTAGTGCATTTTCCTCTGTATCTTCTGCATGAATTAATTCACCTGTGTCTTTGTGGAAGAATGGTCCCACAATGGATTTGCTGTTGAGATGAGAACTCTTCCTTTGATCTCTCTTCCATTTGATAAGGAGAAAGCAAATGAAAAAATTTAGCTTATCCACTTACTATTGCTGAATTATTCTCTTAAGTGCCATTTTCTATTTTTAGTAAGGGCTTATGACAATTTTATCTTGAGTCAGTATGCTAGGGACTTTTGTTTTTAACTTTTATTTTCAGAATTTTTTGCTTTGGCACAAGATTTACATAACTTGTATCATGAGTTTCTTGGTGTTACTGTATTCTTTCTGAGTTGTTACTATTTTTTTTTAATATTCCTGTAATCACGTTGTTCTGATGCAATGTGTCAGGCCAATTTGTATCTTAACACTTTTAATATGCTTTTTTTTTGTTCCAAGGTGTGTACATCTCGATTCTGGTTTAATTATCGTCATGTGGCAAATACTCTCTCAGTGTACAGAAGTGTCAAGAGACTGGGAATTCCTGATAGGTGAGGGAATCTTGGTGAATCCGGTTCTTCCAAATATGCTGTTAAGCTTCTCATGCTATCTGAAGCAGTATGGAAATACATTTTTCTTCCCAGTTTAAATGGATAAAAGTAAAAAGAAAGAATGCAAGTACAACAGTGTGGTAAAAAGTGCAGCAATGTTATTCCAAAGGAAAAGCAACAAGTTGCATAATAAAATTTCCATTTGGAACAGGCTAATTAGATATAGCCACTAAAATGTACCACTTAGCAAACTGGTGTAAGTGTAATGTGAAAATTGCTAAATGTGTTCAGCAATGACAGTAGTACTGTGAGAGATGAGTTTTGCTGTACTTTAATTTCTTTTTAGTGTGGAGATGTTGGTAACTGTGACTGTACTAAGATGTAAGACTTCCACATCTGTAACTACACTGAGTCTTTAAAGGCTCTGAACTATAGGAGCAACTCCTCTATATTGAGTTGCCTTGAAAAAATCCATTTTTCTTGATTTTCTTTGAGAAACCGTTTTTTTTGTCCATACAAGTTGTGTTTCTCTAGTGATAGCACAAGGGCTAGAATAGTATCTCTTCATTCACAACAGGAGTAGAAAGGTTCTGATTTTCTTTGTGTTCCCACTGGAAGTTCTAGGGGTGTTGGCACAGTTCCATCCAGCTGGTTCAGAATGTCATTTACTTCTATCAAAACTGTGGAAGTGAATTTAAGGCATCAGCATCCATTGTGTAATGAGCTATATGTACCATAGGCTCCTCTAGAATTCCTTGTGGCCCTGGTTTTAATGGTAGTTTAGAGGACTGGTAGTTTCTCCAGCATGTCTGCCTAAAGAAGTACAGCCTGCTTCATTACTGCAAAATGCATATCCTGATGGATTGAATTAGTATGGCATTTTTTTGTCCAAATCCAAAACTGCACAACAACTGGCGTCCCCAGTTAACTCCAACTCAACTATGAATGCACTGGCAGTATCATCCTGTTCCCTGTGTTTATTATATAAAAAAAAAAAAAAAAAGAAGAAGAAAAAAAGGAGTGGCTTTCTGTTTTTTGAAAGAGTGGATTTCAAAACTCAATTTTTAGATGCATCCAAGGGAACCCACTGTGGATATGCTGTGGGCTGAAAGGCAGTGAAAAATACCTTTTGTTCTTGCCCATGTCATTCAGAAGCAGCTGTCTTCGCTCCTGTGCAGCCTTTGAAGTGCAGGTGACCTCAGCAGTGCCTTAGAAATTCTGTCACTAGTCCTGACCTTTCCTGAGAACTTTCATCTTCTTTGCATCTGTCTGTCTTCACTATTAAAGCCAAAATAGGTGTGAGTTTTAGAAATACTGTGAGAACTATGGTGTGACTGAGATTTCTCTGTTCAATAGCAAGGTCCATTTCTTGTCCATATCCAAAGATCTGGAATTAATCTCAAAAAGCCAGCAATACTTTCGACTATGGTCAAGAATACTCTCCAAGACACTGTAGAAGACCATGAGATAGTGAGCCTGTTTATTTAGCACTTGCAGCAATTTTTATGTGGATTTGAGCATGTAGAATGTCTGAAATGTTTTGTTTTTTTCCTTTTTTTCCACAGTCACATTGTCTTGATGCTGGCAGATGATATGGCATGTAATCCCAGAAATCCCAAACCTGCTACTGTGTTTAGTCATAAAAACATGGAGCTAAATGTCTATGGAGATGATGTCGAAGTGGATTACAGAAGCTATGAGGTAACTGTGCTTCAATTAAAACACTTGAGTCTTTATCTTTCAGTGTTAGTTTAAAGAGTTATGCAGCATCTGTGAAGTCTGAGGAAGTCTTTCTGTTCATATTACTGGTTTTGGGCTGGGCTTTTATTATCAGCTCATGAGTCTAAAACACATACCCTTCCCCTCCCTGATATTTTGAGTTTGAAGTTCATTATACTAGAGACATGTTTAGTGTATCTATTTTAAATAATGGAATAGAATCACATTACTGAACTTTCTATGGAAATTACTTCAGTGTCTCATCTTGCCAACATAAAAATTACTGTGAAAATTTTTGCAAGTGAATTATTAGGTATATGTACTTCAATTCCTAATTTTACACCTCCTAAAATAAAACAAAAGCTGTAACTTAGTCATTACTACATAGCAACTACTGTATAAAAGTCTGTATTCTTTCACCTTTCTTTTCATGTAATATTCCTTCATACTAGGCAGTGTCTTTACCAGTTGAGACAAAATTACACATCAGTTTCTTGATTTAATAGTGCTGTAGAATTATTGGTAAAGGGTTATTGGATTGTATTTAAGTATGTAGTAGATGTTTTATTTCTCTGAAATTTTATACAGAGAAGTGAAGACGCCGAACTGGAATGGAGTTACATTCTTTTTATCATGCTTTTTCCTGGGTATGGATTTGTTGCTGGCATTTGAGCTGGGCACGTGTACTTCAAGTGGAAATGGTGTTATAGGACATCTTGCAGTCACCACTCAGATGGAATTTATCTGTTCACTCAGACTTATGTAATGGAACTGATCTTGTTTTTTCTTTTCTGAGTTGCAGAGAGAATTTAAACTTTTGTTTTTCCATGGTAACACACACTAATGTTGGAGCATTTCATGAGTACAGGAGCAGCTTTGGCACAATGAAACTATATGCTGACAGGTTTTTAGATCAGTGTGAATGTATTCAAAAATTATAATGGTAGTAGATTGATTGGATATAATTACACAACAAGCTGATGTTAGTGGAGTAAAGTAAAAGGTACCACATGATTCTTTACCTGAAGTAAAACCTTGCACAGAAAATGTTTATGCAGTTTATACCATGCCATACTAGGTCTGATTAGATACACTGCATATTTTAGTGTTCCATTATTTAATTTCTTTGACCCAGACTATAGCTGATCAATATTTTTATCTTTAGAAAATTACTTTATGCTTCTATTCATAGGTTACTGTTGAAAATTTCTTGCGTGTTTTAACGGGAAGAATCCCACCAAGCACACCGCGATCTAAACGTCTTCTTTCTGATGACAGAAGCAATATTCTAATATATATGACAGGTAATTGCAGGTTTCTCTGTACAGTTTATTGATGCTTGCTCAGTTGGATGGGTTTGTTGAAAGCATCAGTAGTCCAAATGCACAAAAGAATCGACCAAGAGATTTTATTTCTGTTTTTATCATGTCACTCTAATTAAGAAAAAATGCCTGTAAAGCAGTACTAAGCCAGTATAGTTTCCAGTTGAAATGGAAGGTGTATTGTTTTTACTGTACCAATATTTTATTTTGTTGGACTGTCTCTGGAGAAAGAGAATTGTGTTTATCTTGTTTTAGAAAAATGATCAGCCAGGCTGCATATCTTCCTTTAACCTACATCCTTGCCTAACTTCTGATTTTTCTGTCAGGTCATGGTGGAAATGGTTTCCTAAAATTTCAAGATTCTGAAGAAATCACAAATGTAGAACTTGCTGATGCCTTTGAACAAATGTGGCAGAAAAGGAGGTAAGAAATAAGTGTTATGTAGACACTGAATATCTTGAACGTACTCTTTAAGTGTGTCTTACTGGTAGGCCTTGCTTACCTGCAGCAGTGATAGCATTGGTGATCCATAAACTTGTGTGAGAGTTTGCATTCAGAAAGCAGAGTTTTAGTTTTTGCTTTCAGCTTCCTGCAGTTAGAGCTGCTCAAATGTATTGCTTTGGGCAAACTTGCATCCTAAATCTGATCAGGGGAGTTCCCTTTCTGAGGTTCCAGGTTCTGAGCCCTGGTAACTAAAATGTGAAGTATGTATATGGTGTTTGCGTGGAAGTGGGTAAGGAGGCTGTTTTCTTTCTTTCAGGTACAATGAATTGTTGTTTATTATTGATACTTGTCAAGGAGCATCCATGTATGAACGATTTTATTCACCCAACATAATGGCCTTGGCTAGCAGCCAAGTAGGAGAAGATTCTTTATCAGTAAGTAGATTTATGTCATCCTGAAGACAGTTTTCAGAATGCATGAGTTAAAAGCGCAGTTCCTGCTGACTTTTAACTAAAGATTTCCCTTATTCTAGTTGCTGAATGTATAAGGTATTTTGTGGGGTTTTGACAAAACTTGTAAGTGTACTGTTCCTGCTTGTTTTTGTATGCTCTCCCAAAGAACCAGGCTAATGATGGATTTCTGTGCTTGCTGACCAGTTTATGTATTGCCTAGGATAGTAAGGAATCTTATGGGAAGACTGCTGAGAGACGTGTGTGAGGAATATTCAATCTAGGACTTACTATGCTTGATATAAAACAAAATGCTAACCTTCACCTGCTGTAATTATATCCAGAATTACAGAAGAAGCCATGGGTGAGATCCCAGCCAGACCAAAAGCAGCTGGTCAGGATTACCTGAACCCATGCACTGCTGTAAGATACACTGGCTCTCCCAGCCCTGTTTTTTAAAGTCCACAGATCCGTGCTGGGCCATTAAGAAGGGGTTCCCTGCTTTTTGGGAAACATAGATATTACGGATACAGTTTCTAGATAAGTGGCATTGTTCAGCTTATCAGCAGTAGGTTTCTTCACAGCTGGCCATTTTCTTGCATAATTTGCCTAAGAACAAAAACAATTACACTTAACTTTTGCAACATGCTGTTACATTCTGTTCCCTCTCCTGGATGCTGAGATCTCTTCTGCAGATGGCAAATAATGCTGTGTGTTGTTTTTAAAGCATCAGCCTGACCTGGGGATTGGCGTTCATCTCATGGACAGATACACGTTCTATGTGTTAGAGTTCTTGGAAGAAATTCATCCAGCCAGCCAGACAAATATGAATGACCTAGTAAGTAGAATACTCGACATTCATGAATATGCTAATGACTTTAATAGTTCCAAAACTAATCTATTTTGTCTGTAGGGTTCTTCAAATGCTTTTTATGCTCCTGCTGTTTCTCTCGGAAGCAGCTTTGGATGAGAGTTTTTTTGCCAGTTGTGTAACACTTCAAGGATTGTCCTCATTTGAAAGTGCTTTGCTGGCTCCAGAAAAAAAATACAAACAAAATAAGCCAGATTTTATATTTTTTGCTGAAAAAATAATAAAGTATTAATTAAATATTCATGTCAATAGAATGATGCATTTGCATCTGAAATATTTTAGCAGGAAGCTTCTAAAACCAGGATAGCAGACACTGCAGATGTGGAAAAGCAGACATTGATGTTGTTTTGCAAAGGTGATTAAACAGTTAAAATTCTAACAGTGCACTCACAAATTCATGCAGAGATGAATTTATCTGTATATCTGCTTAGATTTCGGAACAAGATATATACAAGTACCTCAGTGTTTGGACTTAATTATAGCTGAGGCAAACATTATTGTAGATTTCAGGTATGAAGCAGAAGAAGAAGCTAACCAGATAACATGACAAAATTTATGAAAATGCCTCTCTAGCAGTCAGATGTATACACTGGTGAGAGGACTTAAAAAGTAACCATATTTTATTTGCTCTGTTAACCCTTTATACCTATTCCAGTGCTAGTTTCTTCGTAGTCATGGGTTATACTTTGGTACCTTGTTACTGTAAATCCTGCTGTGTCACATCAGTAATCTCGGAGCCACCACTTACAGAACACATTGTCATAAATTCATTTCTGTAAAAGGAGCAGCTGCTCAAAAGTTTTATGCCACCCTCTGTCTACAGAGGATGGTGTTAGCCTGACTGCTACATGTGTGCTAGAATTCTCTCTAAACAACCCACACTTGGCAGATTTTATGTTGATACAGAATTGACTCTATGCCTAAGACTCAAAGTTCTTTTATTCTATGGGAATGAAATTCTGTCCTATAATTTAATACCTTCTAATTATGAGATACAGGTAACTTTAAAATAAATCTTGATAAAGAAAAATATGCAAGTTCTTTATTGATTAAGCATCTTTGTCTAGTCTGTTCCTTCAAATGTTACTGTAAACCAGAAAATTAATTTGTGGTAATAATAAAAGGTCATAAAAAAGGAAAAGTGCTTTCTACTGTGTAAGACACTCTCTTGGAAGTGGTATAGGTGGTCTGGCCAGCAGGATGTTAATCTGATTATTGTTGAAAGTGTAGAAATTTGTTGGCTGGCCAAGTAGTTTACTTTTTGAGCTCTTTGGAGAAACTGTGTATTTGAGCTCTTTGGAGAAACTGTGTTTTTGCTTATATGCCAAATATTCAGGAAGAGCTGTGGGAAGTTATCCATACTGGTAAATTCCTTACCTTATGTAAGTCATCTTATCGTACATCGATCTGCTGATTGATGCTCAGGGAGTGGAAGAGAAGGGACACAAGTATATTGTGATTTGTGATAAATTGTTTGAGGCCAGGTTGGATGGGCCTGCGAGGCCTGGTCGAGTGGGAGCTGTCCCTGCCCTTGGTAGGAAAGTGAAGGTAGATGATCTTTAAGGTCTCTTCCAACCCAGACCATTGTGTGATCAGGTACTGAGTCATAGTCTGCATGCATTTCAGAAAATGTGATCACTTGACTTGGAGTTGGTGCTTTTCAAGGCTTCATCTAAGAGTTCCAAAATGGCATATGGTTAGTCTGTGGTGAGGATTTAAACCTGGTTTTTTTTGCCAACAGTTGCAGGAGGTACTCTGGAACTGGAGGTAGTCTATCCAACTCTGATTTTTTTAATTTAAATTAATGCTTTCCAAGATCAGAGTAATTTACATTGCTCACTACCTAGCTTTAAAATTAAATGATCTTTAGTTGTTTGATCTTCTGATGTGTCAGATGTCTTCTCTTTTTGAAGTACTGTGTATTTGTTACACCGCTTCTATCCCATTACCTCTTTACTTTTCTCTAACCACTCTTGAAACAGCCTCTCTTCACATCCACCTAAGATTTGGATATTGCATTCCTGCAAAGAATGATACATCATTTTTCATTATCCACTCCACCTACTCCCCACCTGCTCCATCTGTGTTGCTAAGGGATAGCATAAAGCTGTGCAACTGACTGACTTTAGGTTTGATCATAATTCCCTGAAAATAAAGACTACATTGAAATGTCATAAATTTGAACTTTTAAAATAAGTTTCAAATAAATTTATAAATGAGCTGTCATTTGTCCTAAAATATCTAAATTGTTGTTAGAAAAGTTAAGATAACAAAGTTGGGGTAGTTGTTTAGCTTTGTTTGAAAAAAAAAAGAATAAAAATTTGGAAAAATTAATATAGGAAAAACCTGCTTAACTTAGCCAGTGTTTGCCTTTTCCTTTTTTTTGTCAGAAGACCTTGGTTATTAGTGTTAATCCTCTGTGCTATAAATGGTTTACAGTCCTTTCTCACAGTGGTAGTGGATGGGTTTTTAACACTGAAGTCTTTTCACTGCCACTTCATATTATTGTTCAAATTCCTTTCAATATGTTGTGGTAGTAAATTGTTGTGGGGCAGGTTAGAATTAGTTTCGTGTAGTATTAGTTTCCTACTTTCGGTGCTGATGCAGATTTTTTTTGATATTTATACTCTCAAAACCTTGGCGAGAGACTTACTTGTATAACTGCAGCATAAATTTGTGCTTCAAATAGTGGGATTAAAACAAATGTTTACTTTTTATAGTTTAGTTCAGAGACTTAGTTTTTATGTTTGTGCCCTTAGCTAGAGCAAAGCTGGAGAAAATTGATAGCCTTTTGGTGAAAATGAAAGTTTTAGAGTGTTTGTGTGTGCATTAACCACTGGCTTTTGTATGGGAAGCATGATGCTGATGAGTCTAGTTCATTTTCACCACAGGGAGGATAACAAGGGTTTGATTTGCCCCATCTTTTCTTTAGCAGCTGTGTGATAGCAGCCAACAAGAGAGCTGGGAATTGTTAAAATAAGAGCTGAGTATATATGTGTCAGGTATGCTTCAGGTAAAGGTGATAGTGAGCTGAGGCCTCCCTGGACAAGCAGCCTGATGCCATATGCTTACAGGCTTAGGCTAAAAAAGGGATAAAAGAGAAACTGGAGTAGAGCAGAAGGGAGGAATGGGGAGATAGAATCTGTCCTCTATGAGGAAAAGCCAGATAGATGTTTCCTCTCTGGGAAACTTTTTGTAAAACTATAGGGCTCTGTTGTCCAACGAGAATGAGCGACAAAAGCCTGTGAATTTTGTGTCAGGCTGAGTACATTATTTCTGCTGGGAAGTATGGCCTGAAACTCACAGATTTTTGTCAGTCATAATCTGGGATAATTCAAGTTGTATTTGCACTGAGCTGATTAGGACCTGTGGTTTTGTCATAAGGATGCAACCTTGTAAGAGCTGACGCATGAGGTCATTTAGGTATATGAGCTTTAGATCCTGTGGTTGATGGACCTGTTGGTGAAAATCACTTGGACAATTTAAGATTAAGGAACATGAGCACCCATGTGGAGAATAACATTCTTAGTCCTGTATGTTAAATCTCTTGTGTGGCTGGAATGTGAGGGACTCGCATAACCTGCACTGTTACCAGGTGATCTGTGTTGTGGCAAGTGTGGTAAGACTGGTTCTGAATGGCTTTGTTTCTGTCCCACACTTGCCTTGAGTGTCTGCTGGGTACATAACAAACTTGTTACATGATACCTGGCATCCTCTCCTGCCAGGTGTTCTAAATGCTGCACCAAATCTGTCACTGTTCCTTTTGCTTTTGTTAGTGCTGGTTTTGTCTTTCAGGTGTTGCACTGTGTGTGGGATATAGGGGATCTGATATGTAGACAAAATACATGGGTAAAATAAATAATAAGGTGCTTAGCTAGTTTGTAAGTGTCACAGGATGTCTGTGAACTTAATGTAAACAAAGCACTTTGGATATTTGAAGATTCTATGCATTAATTTGTAGGCTATAAATTAGAAACAAGACTGATGGATTTTTTTTTTCCTATCAAAATGTAAATTTTTTGCTTCTTTATGAAGACTTCAACAGAGCTACTTATCAAAGCTTATTTAATTTTGCATACCTCCCTTTGGTAAATATGAAGAATTTATGCCCACTTGTGACTTCTGGAAGGTTATAGCAGCATTGCTGCATCTGTATTCAGCAATATATTTGTGCATTTATCAATTACATGTAATTGATTGTTGGCTTTCACAGGAGCATTTTTAAAATCCAGTGGCATTATTGTAAGGAGAAAGGGTTTTCAGAAATGCTTAAGGTGTTTATGCATCTTAATGCATTTTTTCAACCACTTTTTTTAGCTATGGAGCTTGTACTGAAATTAATGCAAGCTATATGTATCATTTATCTTTCTTTTTAATAGTAGTTTAATTTTGGAAAGTGTATATAGAGACTGTTGAATTAGGGACAGGATGTGATTGTCCATCTTGGTTTTCAGTTTCAGGTCTGTCCAAAAAGCTTGTGTGTTTCCACCCCTGGGCACCGAACAGACCTGTTCCAGCGAGCCCCTCAGAATGTTCTGATAACAGATTTCTTCGGCAGCGTCAGGAAGGTGGAGATCACCACGGAGATACTTTCCTTGGACCGGGACGTGGCTGGATTTGAAAGCAAGTAAGTAGTCATTATTTAGACCTGATTTGTATAGCTTTGTGCCACAAAAACAAACCAGTTGTGTAACTGCCAAGGAAAAAGAACTCTGACTTCCTGTTATTTCTTACAAGGAATCTGGGAGTTAATATGGACCTCCTACTGTGATGAAATTGTCAGCTGAAAACTTTGTGTAAACATACCCACTCTTTCCCTCACCTTTGTAAATAAATTGCTGCTTAAGACTAAGGTGTGGATGTCAATAACAGAAGTAGTTTAGAATTTTATTTCTTCCTTAATGTTTCTTCTTTATTGTTCAAATATTTTTTTACTGCAGTTCCTGCTTGTGGTAGTTTGCCCTCCCCAGGTGAGCTTTGAGTATAAGCCATCAGGTTAGGTGATAACAATTAGCTTTTTTAACAAATGCTTTGTTTCTGTTCTCTGATTTTCCGGGCCTTTGACATTATTCTGTCCTGAAAATTTCTGTTCCTGAGATGCAGTGATTCGTTTGATTAGAACTACAAGTTTAAGTGCAAGTTCATTGATTGAAGTTGTAACAGGGCTTCTATTACTATGTGGATGAAGAAAGAAGTATAAACTTCTTTGTATTTTTGGGATACTGTTGCCACCTATTGGGAAGATGTAAAGAAAGATGTGCTTGTTCTGTAGGGTTTATTTAGCATTGTACTTCCATTTCTGTTGTGTCTTTTGTGCTTGATGATACTGCCCTGTAGGAGGGGGAAACAAAGAATTTAAATATTGTGTTATATCAGGGACTAAATACCTTTCAACACGTAAATTTATGTAAATTCTTGTCTGCCTTGTTGTTTACTGTTGCTCAAGCCAGTGGATAGCAGTTTTATTTATTTTAAAGATAACAGTAACTCTGGTCCTTGTCATTATAAATATCCTAAAAGGTCTTGTGTATTTCATATTTTACTTTCACACTGTATTTATATCTGGATCATATGCATTAGTACATACCATATAAATCTTAAGCTAGTTTTGTGATGCCTTAGTATAGAACAGTACTTAGTGACACTAAATTTGTTTTTTCACTGAAGATTAAAAAAGCTCTTGGCAAGTCACAGAAGTTCTGTTAGTCAGAAACCATGATGAAAACTTACCTGTGTGGGCTTGTAATTTGTGGACAATTGAAAGGAGAAATAAATCTTGAAGGACTTTTCCATTCTTGAACAGGAAGTGTCTGGCTGGAATTTTCAGCTTTTTTTTGTGTGTGTGTGTGTTAGTTTGGTGTCAGTAGTGGAGAGATTTTTGGTGCCTGACACTACTGGAGTGCACACATAGAGACATGTTGAGAAATGGGCACTCATGCACAGAGAGGAACGTTATCCTTGTGAAATGTACAGGTATTTAATGAAATCTGTATTACATTATCATGGCAATTCCACTTAAGTCTGTGAAATTGGAAGGAATGGGGACATGCTGGTTTAATGGCTGGTTTAATAGTTCTCCTTTATACAATTTTCTAAAAAACTACTTAAGTTCTCAGTGTCTTGGTAGGATTTGGACAGAGTTTGTAGACAATATGTTTTTATTGGAGGAGAAAGTATGGAATTTGTTAAAAAAATACTGAAAAACTGTAATATAGCTCTAACAGACAGTGATGTGGAGTGCATAATAAATTCCTTAAGCAGAATTCTTAGGTCAGTACCTCTTGGTATGACAGCTCTGTTTAACTACAACACATTTAAGAATTACAGCTTGAAATGAATTTATTAAATGAAAATGTTAGTGCTTTTTAAAAATGCAGTTTTGGAGCATCTGATCTACAAGAATGGTTTTTTAGAAGAATGTTACGAACATTACATGCACCTATTTCTGAGGGTGTAGAGAAGGCTGAACAAAAATTACATGATTTTTGAATAGGTGCTGCCACTGATTGTCCCAAAATAATGTAAGAATGGCTCCTGAATGACAGAATGTGAGTGCTTATTCTTAACTCTCTCAGTGTCAGTTAAACCATTCTTTGCCTTTTGGGAGTGTGATGGCTGTTGACACTCTCAGGTAAAACAGCTGGGGAAGGATGGGGCTATCACAGCCTGGTTTATTCTTTTTTGTTTCATTGGGAGAGAGCTAAACCAAGCTTATTAAAAGCAAAATAATCCCTCTTAAATAGTTATGACTAATCTTGTTCGTGCCCAACATTGTTTTAAAAGCCCTGGTGAAGCAGAAGAAAATAATAGAGAATTGAGCTTGGGCCCTTAAGAGTTCGTAAGATTTATTGACCAAGAGGAGTCTGATAGATCACAAGTGTGTACTGCTAGTATGTCAGAATTTGTATTACTGGTTACTGAGTGTGAAGCTGTTATTGATTTAATATTTGATTTGAGGCTTCATTCTTTATGAGTCATGTCCTCTGTTTTATTCTTTTATTCTTCCCTCAGTGTTAGTTTGATACCTTTTTTCTTCTCCTTTTACATTCTGGTGGCAGTAGAATGCTACAGAATGCTTGTGTTACAGAGCATAACCAGAAAATGAAATCCAGGCCTCAACTAAGACACAATCTTATTGTCTGTGTTAGATCTGGTTTGTTTGTTTTAAAGCAGGTGTCACACATGCAGATAAGGACATTAAAAGCCAGATGAACAAAAGAGGTAAACTACTGATTACACAGATTATGGGTAAAGAAGATGCTGTCATGCATGAACATGTATCAGGATTGTACTGCTGGCAGACTGTTCAAGTTTTCATCTTGCCCACTGCTGTGACTTTGCCAAATCTTTTCAATAGAAGTTTGTTCTTTTGTTACACAATTGCTTAGCAATTACTTGGTTGTACAGATCCGCTCCCAAGCCCAGTGTGAGCCATAGCTGCGCAACCAGATCAGAACTGGCAGCTTCACGTGGAGCTCATGCCGTGACATTTGACGAGTGAGGCCTTTGAAGTTTCCTCTGGCTTGGGCTGAGACTCATACAGAGAACAACTACTAATTAACCAAGAGAAGAGGCTTTCTTTCTATCCACATAGTGGTAGGTGAATATTTGCGAGTAAAAGCTTTAAAAAATAAAGAGAAGGTTCCTCTGCTATTTCCTTTCTTCACAGTTGTTTCAGTCTAAGCTGTGTTCACTTCAAAGGGCTTGTTCTGCAGCTGCCTCAGTCCTGACAGGATCTGTAGCTGCCAATTTTAGCAGAAAATCTGACAGTCTAGGGGTTCTGAGGCTTCAGATGGTTATGTTTTGTCTAAATCCCCATGCAAGTGCAAAAAGTCAGCATTAAGGAGTAAAAGAAATTTTGCTTCTTTGGAGGGAGGAGCCTTGCAGGTTTTAGAACATCCAGCAAATTAGGAATGTCTCTTTTAAACTTGTAACTCTACAGCCAGTTGGAACACTTTCTCGTTTTCAGTTCTTGTCATGAGGAAAAGACCTGTATCAGCAGAAAGCGTTGGTAGAAATTGGGATGAATATTTCCCTTGAGAGCAGTAAGAAGTGAATTAAAGACAGTATCATATAAAATCATTGTAGTTTTATTGCTTTTGAGAATTACACTTGTATTTAATACTTCTGTTATGAAGAATTGTGATACTACTCGTAGTGACTGTTTTCTTAAAGATAAATTGGTCACTTGTGTTAGGAGGGATGCTTGTATAACAGGCTAATTATGAGTAATTGGTTCATTTGCAGAATATTACTAGCTAATGTTCTCTCAATCTATTTTGTATGTGTGTGTGTGTTGGTGTCTCTTTCCTGTCCTTTCTTCTTTTCCACCAGCTATTTTCAATTTGATGTGCTTAATAATTAAAGGTGCTGTTGTGTGGTCCTGAAGCCTTGGGGAATCAATTTTGCAAACCAGTAGGTATTGGGTTTTTTTTGCAAGTAGATGCTGCTCAGCTCAGGGGGCTTTCCTTAAACTAAAATAAGAGTGTCTGGGTTTGTTCCGAGATCGCCCTTCAGTCTGTACCAGGTGCCACAAATCTGTAGTTCTTTCACGTTTCGTAAGTCACTTTTAGGACTAATTCTGCCAGCTCAGGTTCCCGGTGCCTGGCGGAGGTCCCGCACTCCCGCTCCCGGCCCGCGCCGGCAGGTGGCGCCATCGCGCCGGGGCTGGGAGCCGGGATCGGGGCTGGGAGCCGGGATCGGGGCTGGGAGCCGGGATCGGGGCTGGGAGCCGGGATCGGGGCTGGGAGCCGGGATCGGGGCTGGGAGCCGGGATCGGGGCTGGGAGCCGGGATCGGGGCTGGGAGCCGGGATCGGGGCTGGGAGCCGGGATCGGGGCTGGGAGCCGGGATCGGGGCTGGGAGCCGGGATCGGGGGGCCCCGCCGCGCCCGCCCCGCGCCCTGCTCTGCGGGATCCCCTCGGAATCAGGCAGGCGAGTTCAACTTGGTCCTTGTTCAGTGGAAATTCGACGGGATAATGGGAGGTTTTAATCTTACTTTCCACTTTTCCTACTGGGCGACATCCTGGTAGAGATGTAATGTGCTTCAGTTTCAGAGTAATGTAAAAATAGAAAAAACCCTCAGAATTTAGCAGGTCTCTACTCATCAGAATTAAATTGCCAGTGGGATTAAGAAGCTCTTCTAGGTCCACAAACATCTTCAGATGGGTTTCATAATTTTTCCCATGAAGAACACTGATCAGTTACACACGTACTATATTTTCCTCTAATGTCTTAGAAATTTATTCTGTTTTAGTGTTAAGTTTGGATTTTGTAATCCATGTGCTTTTTAATAGCCTACAAGTAATTAAAGAAGATGGTAGAACCAATACTTGCTGTTAAATATTATTGCTGGATTTCCTAAAGTATTTTGTAAATATATTTGGGATTTCTTTGCTTGCAGAAAGATAGGTCAATATATGCATAGACATATATACACACACTCTACCTGCTAGAGTAAAAGAATTCGTCAAGGTAGTACAACTGAGATTAGTATGAAGACTGTAGAAGGAAAAATTATGTAGAAGGGCACAGTCTCACTGGTATAATGTTGGTATAAAATAAATAAGAATGACTGACAATATCAAAAAGAACTGCCGGTATAAATTGTGTTGGGAAGACTTTAAAT